CACCTGCTGTCAGAGCGCGGGGAGGCCCGGGCGGCCCAGCAGGGACAGGGCACCTGCCTCACTCCCACCTTCCTCTCCTCCCCAGATGGCAGCTACCATTGACATGCGTTTCCAGAGCGATCTGTTGTCGATATTTGAAGAAAATCTTTTCTGAGAGCCACCTAGGTGACTTCTGACTTTGATTTTTTTCCGGCAAAACGTTGACTCTCCATAGTGTTAGGGGCGGCGGTGAAGGCCACGGTGGCGGCCCAGGGTGTCTCCGGGCCTGGCCCTCCTGCATGCTCTGCCCGGGGCAGGCCTGACGGGCAGCTGAGGATCGCAGAGCCTGCCTGCCTTACAGCCAGCTGGACAGTCCCGCCGCCCCGCCACAGGACGTCAGCCCAGAGCACGCCTCGTTGGGAGCAAGTGCCGGCCGGACCCAAGCCCTGCGTCCCCGCGTCCCCGCGTGCGGGGCAGAGGCCCTTCTCTCCGCCAAATGTCTACACAGTATACACAGGACATCGCCGCCGCCTCCGGGACTGGTTTTCTGTACCCGAGAACCTGACGTTCATGACGGCCCCGCCCGCCGGGCGTCCCTCCCCACACCCCAGCCGTCGCCGCCCACTCGCAGGAGGCCAGGGCAGGCCCGCGTGGGCTGGAGGCGGGCGAGGGCGCGGCCCACCCACTCGCTGGCACTGACTTTGCCTTGAACAGCCCCTCCCTCTCCCCCTGCCCCCACAAGCCTTTAATCGAGAGACGCTCTCTGTAAGTGTTCGCTTGTGCAAAAGGGAATCGTGCCGTGGAGGTGTGTGCGTGTCCATGGCGATGTGGGGCAAGGCCACCGTCCCTCCGCGCACGTCCGTGTGTGGGCGGGCCTTGCCCGGGGAGTGAGGCCACCAACCAAAGTCAGATCCCTCCCACCTGTGTTTCTGGGTTTTTTTTTTGTTTTTTTGTTTTGTTTTCGTTTTTGTTTTTTTTTTTTTTTCCTCTTCTTGTGGAGAAAGGGAGAGAGGCACTCTCAACAGGGTCTCAAGCTGCATTCTTGCATGTATGTGTTGACCTGGGAACCAAACCCTGATTTTCCCCCATGTAACACCAGTTATATGCAGTAGAGTAGCATGCTACCACTGAGCTGCTATGGCAGACTGTATAGTGAACATAGTCGGCATATCTTTGTTTGAAGTTTGTTGGTGACTAAACCAAACAGGTGTAAAAAAAAAAAAAAAACAAAAAAACAAAACAAAAAAAACCGAAAACAAAAATACAAAAACAAACAAAAAAAAATCCACAAAAAAAACACCCCACAAAACACACACACACACAAAAGAACTCTGCCTATATTTTACTCAGTTTCAAACTTTATTAGTCTATTTTTTAATTATAAAACCAGAAAGCTGCAATTTCTTTTCTTCCCCCGCCCCAATCCGTTGGCTTGTTTTTTAATGTCAAACCTGTTTTGAGTTTGGTTTTAATTTTTTTTTTTTTTTTTAAAAAAAACACCCCACAAAACACACACACACACAAAAGAACTCTGCCTATATTTTACTCAGTTTCAAACTTTATTAGTCTATTTTTTAATTATAAAACCAGAAAGCTGCAATTTCTTTTCTTCCCCCGCCCCAATCCGTTGGCTTGTTTTTTAATGTCAAACCTGTTTTGAGTTTGGTTTTAATTTTTTTTTTTTTTTTTTAAATCAAGCTGCTCGGCATCTGGTTCCCACCAACCAGCTTCTCCTTCCCACACTCTTCTGTTTTGTTGTTGTTTCTTTTTTGTTGTTGTTTTTTTAATTTTATAATTGGAGCCCTGGGTGAGGTTACGCGTGCCATGAGAATCCACTCTACACCACAACGCTGGTGCCTCAGTGTTGGCCAAACTCTGGAGTCACTAACTGGTTTGACTTTCATACGGTGAATATGCATTTGGTCTGTACTGATCATGGAATAAACACATCTCTCTTTTTTAATGCTGGCGTCTCCCTGACGTTTCTTTGTGAACCAACTGTTGCCTAGGTGAGGCCCAAGACCCTCCCACCCACCCCACCTGGACCCCAGACCACTTCCGGACAAGAGCTACCGCCAGGAGCCGCTCTGACTCAGAGCTGCCATGCCCCCCGAGCTGAGGCTGTGATGGGGAGCCCAGGTCCACTTCCCGGGGACCCTGGCCAAGGCAGGGGTGCTCCAGCTGATCTCTGGCCAAACTCCAGACAGTATTCTTCCCTCCCGATGCCTCTTCTTCCTCCTCCCCAGGCCCCCACTCACCAAAGGACTTGGGCACTCCTCCCACCTCGCTTGCCTCTAATTCTCCTTTCATTTAATTAAGCTCAGGGGTATCAACCAGATCTTAGAGAAGTGCATATGCCCAAATAGGATCCTCACTCCCCCACCCCAACTCACGCGCGTTCACACACACATACACACATACACATTCCTGCCCGAGAAAGCCCACAGGTAACCGCACTGCCTGTGTGCCTGCCCGGACGCACATGCCCCGGCCACAAGGCATGGGTGGCACCCGAGAACGGCCCCTAGGACCTATGTAAGATACAAGTGTATAATTTATACAGATGCAGAGACCAGCTGATGGAACTATTTCTAGCACTATTAACCCCCCCCCTTTTTTTGGACCCAAAATCCCCCTTCATTGTCCTGTGCTGAGGATGTGCCAAACCTCCCAGTCAGGGTGTTAACTCAGTTTATCCAGCCATGAGGGTTCTCGTCACCACCTTCATGTCCCTTCTCACCCCGGCACTTCCTCGTACACCGGCCGGGCTGCTTCCAAGTGTGACGTCGTTTGATTCTTTGGGGTTTCTTCCACCCTCTCAGGTTTTGTTGCTTGTTCTTGTTCAGAAACTTCCCCCAGGCTGGATCTGACTGTTGAGCTGCAGAGGTGTTTTTATCTGCACCTGCCATCTATACCACGCCTCCCTGATAGGTGTGTGTGTGTCTCTAACTGGGTTGTAATTAGAACTGGGAATCTATTTAATTTCTCTGGCCACTTCCCCATCCCTCCCCCAGTTCTAGAAAAATCTTAGTCCGATACAAGGGTTAAGAGGTGTGTACAAACCCCCCCCCCCCACTGTACTGTAGGCACTGATCGCTTGGCCAATAACTATGTCAGTGAATCTGAGACTTGTATCAAACACTTTAGACATTTGTAGAAGGGACTTCGTAGACTTTTCACTTATATATACTAAAGTTTTTTTTTTCTTTTTTTTTCTTTTTTTTTTTTTTTTGGTGCCGTTCTCATTGCAAAAATAAACATTTGTACTGAATATAAAGTTACTGTTCCGTGACTGCTCCCATCTTTTGGAGGGTAGAGCTGGGAGAAGGGTGTGAGGGGAGGGGTGGGAGTCAGTGTTGCGTAGCCCGGGAAGAAGGGAGGATCCCAGCACCCACCAGCCATGCAGTCTTGTGTGTGGACTCAGGAGAGACCCTGGGAACATGAAGTCAGAAGATGTAAAGAAATCTTTTACACTTAATGGGAAGTGTAAAAGAAAACCAAAGTTGTGATTAGGGGATAATCATGCCAAAAAAAAAAAAAAAGTTGGTTAATCTGAGGGCAACAAAAACGAAATGTGATTATTGACCCCTGCTCCTCAAAGACATGAATTATTGGGGCCAACAGATGGCTTAATGGCTACGTTGCTGATTCCCATGTAGTTGACTGTGGTTCAAGTCCCGGACCCGGTGTCTTTAACTCACACCGGGCGCGTGTGCGTACGTGCCCAAGATCCTGAGAGGAGAATGGAGGAGAAGGGATTGCGGCGTGGCCATCCCCCCTGGGGGGTGATTTCTCGCTTTCTGTCTCTCTGTCTCTCTTTGTGGTGAGCTCATGTGCCCTATAGCAAAAATTTCTCAAAAAAAAAAAAATTATTATTTATTAAGGCAGAACAGAACTACTCTTGACCTTCAGGCTTCATGGTGGTCCCAGGACAACTACTGTTTTGCAGCCTCACCACCACAGAAGTATATGGATGAGGGACCAGCAGGTGGCGTGGTGGTTAAGGTGCTGGACACTCCCACATGGCCGACCATGGTTCAAGTCCTGGACCTGGTGGCTGGCTTTCTCATTTTCTCTCTCTCTCTGTCTCTCTCTCTAGTCAAATTAAAATGAATGAATAAATAAATCTTAAAAAAAAAAAAAGTATATGGATGAGTGAAAGGTAGGAGGTGATGAACTACATGGGACCAGCAGATAGTGAAATAGCTGTTGCTAGATTCCCACGTAGTCGACTGCGGTTCAAGTCCCGGACCTGGTGGTTTAAAACTAATGCCAGGCATTGGAACTGGCAAGTGGCGTGGTGGTTAAAAGGTACTGGACTCCCACGTGACCGGCTGCAGTTTGAGTCTCGGACCTGGCGACTTTCTTTCTCCCTTTCTGTCTGTCTCTGGTCAAATTAAAAAATAATAACAAATGGAAATAATATTAATAATGGAAATAATAAAGCTCATACCAGGTGTATGTGCGTACATGCCCAAAATCCTGAGAGGAGAAGTGGAGAAGGGATTGCTGCGTGGCCATCTCCCCCAGGGGGTGATTTCTGGCTTTCTGTCTGTCTCTCTGGTGAGTGCATGCATCCTCTAGGAAAAATATCTAAGAAATAAAGTTGAGTGTTCAAAGTTAGCAGAAATTGGGCCAGCAGATGACACAGCAGTTACATCACTGGACTCCCCACATGGCTGTGGTTCCAGTCGCAGACCCAGTGGCTTAAATTACACCAGTTGCTTGTGTGTGCATGCCCCCAGCATCTTGGGAGGAGAATCAAGAAGGGATTGCAATGTGGCAGTCTCCCCGGGAAATGTCTCACTTTCCCTCACACTGTCATCTCTTTCTCTCGCTTTGGGGAGTGCACATGCCCTAAGGCAAATACAAAAAAAAACAGAAACCAATTGACAAACTAAACATGGAAACTGCATGAACAGTGGTGTGATGGGAGCGAGTCAATGCATGATACCTCAAGTTAAGAAATAGACACAGGCAGGCCAGCAGGTGGTGTGGTGGTTAAGGGCGCTGGACTCCCACATGGTCGACTGTGGTTCAAGTCCCGGACCTGGCGGCTTGTTTTCTCAATTCCCTCTCCCCACTCTGTCCCTCCCTGGTCAAATTAAATACATAAAATAAAGTTAAATAAAAGAATCCTTTTTTAAAAAATAGTCATAGGTGGAACCAGCAGATGGTATAATGGTTATGTCACTGGACTCCCATGTAGTCGACCACAGTTTGAATCCTGGACCAGGTGGCTTAGAACTCACACTGGGCATGTGTGCGTGTGTGCCCAAGATCCCAAGAGGAGACTAAGGGATTGTGGCATGACCATCCCCCTGGGAGGTGGGGTGATTTCTCACTATCTCTCTGTCTCTCCAACGAGCACACACACCTTACAGCAAAAATCTGAGAAGAAACAAGAAAGAAAGAAATAGCAACAGGGGCCAACAGGTGGTGTGGTGGTGAAGACACTGGATTCCCATATGGCTGGCTGTCATTTGAATCCTGCATGAACCTGGACTGGGCAGCTTGAAAATCATGACAAATATTTAGTTTGGTCTTGTCTTGTGTTTTTTAAGATAAAATTTAAAGGACCAGCAGATGTCATAATGGCTATGTCGCTGGACTCCCATGTAGTCGACCGCAGTTCGAGTCCTAGATCCGGTGGCTTAAGCTCACGCCGCGCACATGCCCAAGATCCTGATAGGAGAGTGGAGGAGAAGGCTATTCCCCTTGGGGGGGGTGATTTCTTGCTTTCTGTCTCTCTGTCTCTCTCTCTTTCTGGCGAGCACATGCGCCCTATAGCAAAAAAAAAAAAAAAAAAAAAAAAAAAAAAAAAAAAAAAACAAAAAACAAAAAACAAAAAAAAAACCTCCCTAAAAAATGTTTCAAGTAAACATTTTTTAAAAGCCACAGAGATGGGAACCAGCAGGTGGCATGGTGGTTGGGGTGCTGGACACTCCCACATGGCCAACTGCGGTTCAAATACCGAACCTGGTGGATTGCTTTCTCACTTTCCCTCTTTTTCTCTCTGTGTATCTCTCTGGTCAAATTAAAAAATAAATTAATGACTAAATAAATAATTATTTAAAAAAATTTTTTTTAAAAAGCCACAGAGATACCTAGGTTAAGCACCAGAATGTCAAAGGTATTGCATGGCTGCCTGGAGGCAGAGAGAAGAGGTGGAGCCACATATAAACCCTCCCAGATTACAGTTCAGCCTGATGCATGGCTTTAGGCAAATGATTCCACCCCCAAATTGCAGGTTCGTGACCTGTAATATGGGGATGTAACACCACTTCCTGTATTTAAGTAAAGCATTGCGATTAAGAGTTAAATGACAGCAGCAGGTGATGTGATTAAGGTGTTAAAGATTCCCACATGGTTAACCATGGTTCGAGTCCTGGACCCAGCAGCTTCAAAGTCATGCCAGGCATGTGTGCATGTGTGCCCCAAATCCCAAGAGAATGATAGAAAAGAAGGGATTGGGAAGTGGCCATATCCCCCTGGGGGGTGATTTGTCACTCCCACCACCCCTCTCTGGCGAGTCCACGCGCCCTATGGCAAAACCTAAAAAATAAAAATAAATAAGTGACGAGCGTCCTTTTTCTTTTCTGCTTCTTTTTTTTTTTTTTTTTTTTTTTTGGGGGGTTTTTTGGTTTTTGGTTTTGCTATAGGGCCTGTGTGCTCGCCAGAAAGAGAGACAGACAGACAGAAAGCGAGAAATCACCCCCTATGGGGTATGGCCATGCTGCAATGCCTTCTCCTTCATTCTCCTCTCGGGATTTTGGGCACACACGAACACACACCGGGAGTGAGTTTTTAAACCACCGGGTCTGGGACTCGAACCGCGGTCGAAAACATGGGAGTCCAGCGACATAACCATTACGCCAACTGCTGGTCCTGATGGACGTCCTTAAAACGTTCACGGTTGCAAAATAGGAAGAGGCCAACTCCTTGCAAGGATGCAGGGACGGGCTCTAGTGACTGGGCTCCATCCAGCCGGGCCCTGCCCCACTTCCTCTTTCCGCCAATGCCAGTGCCCCAGTGACTCAATTGGCCTGGCCTTCCACCGACTCCCTCTTGGACTCAAGGTCTCCCGCCGCCTTTGGCTGCCACTCGCTGAGCCGGAGTCTCTGCACCTGCCGACCGGCTTCCGGGCCTGGACCTGTCGCTTTTACATCAACGGTCACCACCGTCCAATCAGAGCCGTGGGGGGGCGGGCCGGTGAACGGGCTGAGCCAACTGAAAGACAACGCCGGGCTGAGGCCACTGGAGCCGCCGTTGGAACTAGGGCTTCACCCAGAAGATGCTGCTAGGTGTCTGAGTCAGGCTGAGAGAAGGCTCACGATCTGCGGGGTAGGGACTTCCCGGGAAGTGACTGCCAGGGCTCCCGAGAACTTCTTGGGCCGCGCCTTCCTTCTCATCCCAATTATCATTTTGCCTATCCCTTTTCTTCCGCTTCCGGGCCCGCCTGGCCCGCCATATTAGGGTTCGGCCCCGCCCCCTTATCTCATTGGTCTGTCTCCACGCTAACCCTCAGCTCATTGGCTTAGCCTTCGGTCTTCTCTGCCCACTGTTGGGCCCCGCCTCCTCTAGGCTCCACCCATACCTGCTCTCCCGCGTAAGACACGCCCCTTGTGGGCCCTTATAATGCTCCTGGACCAAGTTGGGTCTTCTCTTCCGGCTCCTGGGCCACGCCCACCCTGCATATGCCCCGCCCCTCCGCCCCAGGCTCTGCCCATTTCTTTCGGGGTCCGGATCCCCTTTTTCGCTCAGGTTCGGAATCTCCCTAGTTTCTTTAGACGCGGCCGGTGCACCTGCTGCGGGAGTCGGACTAGGCCCCGCCCCTGTAGTAAGCCACGCCCAGTCCCTACGCCCCGCCCACAGCTCCTCGGTTCCCCTTGAAGGCTCTTCCGCAGCCTCCGCAGCCGGGTCCTGGCAGGTTCCGCCCCCACCCCCAGCCCAAGTCCTTGTCACCGTCGCGCCCAAGTGTTTACCTGGCACTTAGGTGAGTCGCGCGCGGTGGCATTTGCGATCTGAGCCGTCCACCTCTTCCCTCAGCGTGTTCCTCAAGCCCCGACGACACGGAGGGGTCCCAGACGAAAGGCGGTGGGCGCCTGAGCCCCGTTCCCGCCTCGCCCCTGCTGCCCGGGTCCCAGGACGACCCCTCCGACGGTGACACTGTCGTTGTCCCAAAGCACGGCGACATGCCCGAGCTGGTGGTGACGGCGCTGCTGGCGCCGTCGCGCCTCTCGCTGAAGCTGCTGCGCGCCTTCATGTGGAGCCTCGTGTTCTCGGCGGCGCTGGGGGGGGGCGGCGGGGCTGCATCGCGCTCGCGCATGTGCTGTGCCGGCCCCGGCGCGGCTGCTGCGGGCGCCCCCGGTGCAAGGCTCCCGCCTGCCTCAACGACCCCTCACTGGGCGAGCACTGCTTCCTGAACCTCCCGGTGAGCATGCGGGGTGCACCATCAGGGCCAGGGGTCCCCGCAGGGAGGGAATGTTTAAACCCATACGGGCCGGGGTCCTCCCCAGGCCTCAGACTGTGTCCTCCCCTAGAGCTCGGGCCTGCGCCTGCACTACGTCTCCGCTGGAAAAGGCAACGGACCGCTCATGCTTTTTCTGCACGGCTTCCCTGAGAATTGGTAAGTCTGAGGTCCCAGGGCTTGGGGCTGGTGGGACTAGGGGAGCTGGAGCTCAGGTGCAGGGATGCGGACGAGGTAGACCCGGGAATGAAGAACACAAAGGGCCCAGAGTGGGTACCAGGGGCAGGATGTCCAGGATCCCTAGGTCCTAAAGGGATTGAGACCACCCTTGGACATGGCGTGGGGCTGATCTCAGCCTCAGTGCTTGAGGCTCCCCCTCCTTCCGTGACGGGAAGATGGGGTTGCAGAAAGTCCCTGCTGTGCCTAGGGTGGAGATTCAACCCTAGAAACCCTGACTCAGTCTCCTTCTGCTGCTTGCTGGGCAGGTTTTCCTGGCGTTACCAGCTTCGGGAGTTCCAGAGCCGCTTCCACGTCGTGGCTGTGGATCTGCGTGGCTATGGCTCCTCGGATGCACCCAAAGATGTGGACTGCTACACCATGGACCTGCTGATGGCCGACGTCCGAGATGTCATCCAGGGTCTGGGTGCGGACTTGCCCCATTCCAGCAATGCCCTCCCACATCCTGCCCACACCCATCTCCCCTACTCCCTTCCTGCTGAGATCCACCTCCTCCTATCCCAGCTCCCAACTCTACCGGGCTTCTGGCTGACACCAGCTCCTCTGACCCCCCCAGGTTACTCCAAATGCATCCTCGTGTCTCACGACTGGGGCGCTCTCATCGCCTGGAATTTCTCCATCTACTACCCGTCCCTGGTTGAGCGGATGGTTGTGGTCAGCGGCGCCCCCATGTCAGTATACCAAGGTGTGTTGGAGAGTGGAGACGCTGGGACTCGCCTGCTCTCAGAGGCCCGAGTCTTGTCTTCGCACTTCTCCATCCACTGGTCAACACGGCGGGGGATGTGGGAGGGGAGTGTGCAACTGGGTCCCCTCCCCCATGGCACTCCCCAGTCTAAAGTCCATGACAACACCCTTAGGAGTAACCCACAATTTTTAAAAAAAGGACTACTTTATTTATTTATCCATTTGGTTTTTTATTTTAATTTAAGAGAGACCGAGTTAGAGAAAGAGAAAGTGAGAAAGCAAGCCGCCAGGTCCAGGACTTGAACTGCATTCGGCCATGTGGGAGTCCAGCGCCTTAACCACCACACCACCTGCCAGCTCCTCCCACATTTTTTGAGAGGTTTTTGCTGTAGGGCACGTGCGCTCGCCAGACAGACAGAGACAGAGAGATAGAAAGCGAGAAATCATCCCCCAGGGGGGATGGCCACGCCGCAATCCCTTCTCCTCCATGCTCCTCTTGGGATCTTGGGCACACACGCACACGTGCCCGGTGTGAGTTTTAAGCCACCGGGTCTGGGATGCGAACCACGTTCGACTACGTGGGAGTCCAGTGACATAGCCATTATGCCATCTGCTGATCCCCCGCCCTCCCACATTTTTTAAGAGAGATTTTTTGCTATCGGATGTGTATGTTCACCAGAGAGACAGAGACAGAAAGCGAGAGATCACTGCCCCCCGGGGATGGCCACACTGCAGTACCTTTGTTCCATTCTCCTTTCGGGATTTTGGGGACACACACACACACACACACACACAGTGTGAGTTTTAAGTTGCCGGATCCAGGTCTCAAACCATGGTTGGCTACATGGGAGTCCAACAATGTAACCATCACGCTATCTGCTGATCCCTTATTTATTTATTTTTTTAAGAGAGTTTTTTTTTTTTTTAAGAGACCAGCAGATGGCATGATGGTTACGTTGTTGGACTTCCACATATTCAGCTACAGTTCGAGACCCAGACCAGGCGGCTTAAAACTTACACCAGGCACGTGTGTGTGTGTGTGTGCCCAAAATCTCCAGAGGAGAATGGAGGAGAGAGCAATGTAGCCATCCTCCCAGGGGCACGTGCATTTGGCATGTGTTTTTCAGGCCTCTGGGTCTGGTACTTGAACTACTGAGTTGGCCATGTAGGATTCAGTACCTTAACCACCATGCCCCTTGCTGGCCCAGGCAGGGAGTTTTGTCCCACCTCCTGCTGTGTCTCTAGGTTCTAGAATCTGGCATATAGTGGGTACCCAATCAATGTTTGTGTGCATGGTAGACAGTAGGTGCTTAATAGATGTGTGTTAAGTGAAGTAGGGGAGGGACTAGCAGATGCTGTAATGGTTACATCGCTAGACCGTCACATAGTCATCCACAGCTCAAGTCCTGGATCCAGTGGTTTAAAACACTGGGCACATGTGCGTGCATGCCCAAGCTCCTGAGAGGAGAATGGAGGAGAAGGGATTGTAGCATGGCCATGCCCCCAGGGGGAGTGATTTTTCACTTTCTCTTTGTTTCTCTGGCAAGCGTATGGGGTTATAGCAAAAATCTCTCTAAAAGAAAAAAAGGGCTGGCAAGATGCATGATGGTTAAGGTGCTGAACTCCCACATGGCCGACCACAGCTTGAGTCCCAGACCTGATGGCTTGCTTTTTCACTTTCCCTCTCTCTGTCTCTCTCTGGTTAAAAAATAATAATAATAAGATGGGACCAGCAGATGGCGTAATGGCTACATCGCTGAACTCCCATGTAGTCGATCGCGGTTCAAGTCTTGGACCCAGTGGCTTAAACTTACGCCAGGCACATATGCATGCATGCCTAAGATCCCAAGAGAAGGGATTGTGGCATGGCCATCCCCCCTGGGGGGTGATTTCTCGCTTTCAGTCTCTGTCTTTCTGGCGAGCGCACGTGCCCTATAGCAAAAACTTCTCCAAAATAAATAAATAAATAAACAAACCATTTTTTTTTTTTAAGAGGTTTTTGCTATAGGACGCATGCGCTCGCCAGAAAGAGAGAGACAGAGACATAAAAAGCGAGAAATCACCCCCTAGGTGGGATGGCCACACCGCAGTCCCTTCTCCTCCATTCTCCTCTTGGGATCTTGGACACACGCACACGCATCCAGCGTGAGTTTAAGCCACCAGGTCTGGGACTTGAACCGCGGTTGACTACGTGGGAGTCCAGCGACATAGCCATTACGCTAACTGTTGGTCCCCCATAAACAATTCTTTAAAGAAAAAAAAAAAGAATGAAGTAGGGAAAATCCACCTAGGCTTGAGCATTTTTGTTGTACCAAAATGTGGAGGCCCCCTGGAGATGCAAGGAGAAGACGACTCCCATTCTGTGGACCCAGTGATCACCAGACAGGGAGGGAAGCTGGTGCCAGGCCAGAAGGAAACTCGAGTCTCTTTTTACAGACCCAGGCAGACAGCAATGGCATTCCAGAGGCCTGGAATACCTGCCTCACCTGGGTACACAGAGGTGGTACCCAGAAGTATGAAAACCACCCTGGACCCAGATCTCACATCTGCACCCCCATCCCTTTACCCTAGTGTTTTTTTTGTTTGTTTGTTTGTTTTTTTGCTATAGGGCGCATGTGCTCGCCAGACAGACAGAGACAGAGAGACAGAAAGCAAGAAGTCACCCCCCAAGGGGGATGGTCACGCCGCAATCCCTTCTCCTCCATTCTCCTCTTGGGATCTTGGGCACGCACGCACACGCACCTGGCGTGGGTTTTAAGCCACCAGGTCTAGGACTCGAACCACGGTCAACTACGTGGGAGTCCAGCGACATAGCCATGACGCTAACTGCTGGTCCCTTCCTTTTCCCCTAGATTATTCTCTGCGTCACATCAGCCAGCTCTTCCATTCCAGCTACATGTTCCTGTTCCAGCTTCCCTGGCTGCCTGAGAAGTTGTTGTCCATGTCCGACTTTCAGGTGCGGCGGGGTGAAGGCGTGGGGGTCGGGGAGAGTGGGTTGGGACTGGACAAACCAGGCAGCGAACCCAGTCCTGATGTGCCCACAGATCCTGAAGTCCACCCTCACCCACCGCAAGACAGGCATTCCGCACTTGACCCCCAACGAGCTCGAGGCCTTCCTCTATGACTTCTCACAGCCCGGTGGCCTCACAGGGCCCCTCAACTACTACCGCAACCTCTTCAGGTGAGTCCGGACTCAGACCCAGGGCTGAAGCTCAGCAGACTCGCAGGGCGAGGGATGGGGAGCAGCCATTCTTCTGCCTGTTCCTCTCGTCTTAACCACAGGAACTTCCCCTTGGAGCCCCAGGAACTGGCTACACCCACCCTGCCGCTGGGGGGGGCCAAGGACTCCTAGCGCGCCGGCCCCCCCCGCCAGCCGCTTCGTGCCAGGCCGACTGGAGGCCCACATCCTGCTAGCTGCGGGGCACTGGATCCCACAGACCCACCCTCAGGAGATGCACCAGTACATGTGGGCCTTCTTGCAAGACCTGCTGGACTAGCATCCCTTGCTCAGCTCCGACACAGGGACCCTCGAGAACACACACCCGCTGCCGTCTGCGTGTACCTGGAAGTCCGTGCAGTACACGTACCCAGGCGGACTCCTGGATCAGCCATAAACACGGAACTCCCGGATGACACACGAAATGCATCCGCGGATGCTCTCCGGCACAGCAAACCCTGCGTTCACACAGAGTTCACATGCGAGCTGGCGCTTTGGGGCCTGGATATGCTTGCTCCTCCTCTGTGGAGCTCGAGGCTCCGATGCAGGGTCCTGTCTCTCCCCTCCCTGCAACTGGATACTTCTGTTTATCCAAGTTGGTCCCCAAGTCTGCACAGACCAGAAAACTCTGAGCTTCCAGTCCCTAAGTTCACCTCCAGTCTGGATCTTCAGCTAAATGCGTTTCTTTCCAACACGGTCCTTCTAGCATCCTCTGGCTACTTCAACTTCAACTTCAGTTAAAATGAAATATAATTAAACATGCTGAGCCTCAGTTTCACAATAGCCAGATTTCAAATGCTCAGGGGAAAGTTCTTTTCTTTTTTTGCTTGAAAGAGAGAGAGACTGTGAGAAACCACTCCCCAGGGGAGATGGTTACACTGCAATCCTTTCTCCTCCATCCTGCATTCTTCTCTTGGGATTTGGGACACTCACGCACACGCATTCAGCATGTTTCTCTCTCTCTCTCTCTTTTTTTTTTGAGAGGTTTTTGCTATAGGGCGCATGCACTCGCCAGAGAGAGACAGAGAGACAGAAAGTGAGAAATCATTCCCCAGTGGGGATGGCCACATTGCAATCCCTTCTCCATTCTGCTCTCGGGATCTTGGGCACACATGCACATGCACCCAGTGTGAGTTTAAGACACCCGTCTGGGACTCGAACCTCGATCGACTACATGGGAGTCCAGCGACATAGCTGTTATGTGCCAACTGCTGGTACCCGGAGTGTTTTTCAAGCCACTGGGTCTGGGACTTGAACCTCAGTCAGCCATCCTGTAGGATCCAGCCACCTTTTAAACTCCATGCCACCTGCTGGCCCAGTGCAGAAAGTTCCATCAGACCGAGCTGATGAGAATATTTCTGGCTTAAGAGTAGGGAGCAGGGCCAGCAGGTAGCATGAAGTTTTTGCTGGCTGGATCCCACACGGCTAACTTTGTGGTTCGAATCCGGACCCTACAGCTTGGAAATCATGCCGGACATGTGTGCATGCGTGTGTAGAATTCCAAGAGGAGAATGGAAGAAAAGGGATTGCCACATGGCCACCCCTTACCCCTGGGGCAGGGGTGCTTTCTCACTTTCTTTCTCTGATGAGCACATGCACGGTATAGCAAAATTAAAAAAAAAAAAAAAAAAGAGTGGGGGGCCTTGTTTCCTGGCCCATGACAGCCTCTCCAAGGGAGGACCCTCAGAGACAGGAATCTAGATGTACAGACTCCTCTCCAGCCAGCCAGGCCCAGGGCAGCTCCCACGGTCCCCTCCCCATCGTGACCCCAGGCCTTGACAGGTCAAGTTCTCTCGCCCCAGCCTGGACTGGGCTGTCTCTGGGCCCTGGGAAAACAGCTCTCAGCTCTGTTAGGATATGTGCAATTCTGGTTTCAGAGGAGGAAGAGACCGTTTCCTTGAATAGCCATTTCGGATCAGAGGCCTGCCCCTCCAGCTCCTGAAATCTCCTACTCCAAATTAGCCGCAGTTTCTTTTTTTTTTTTTTTTCTCCTTCCATTCTTTCTCTTTTCTTCTTTCTTTTTTTTGGGAGAGGTTTTTTTTTTTGGAGAGGTTTTTGCTATAGGGTGCGTACGCTCGCCAGACAGACAGAGAGACAGAAAGCGAGAAATCACCCCCCAGGGGGGATGGCCACGCTGCAATCCCTTCTCCTCCATTCTCCTCTCGGGATCTTGGGCACACACGCACACGCTCCTGGTGTGAGTTTAAGCCACCGGGTCCGGGATGCGAACTACGGTCAACTACATGGGAGTCCAGTGTCATAGCCATTACGCTAACTGCTTGTCCCTCCTTTCTCTCTTTTCTTCCTTTCTTTCTTCTGCTTCTCCCCTCCCCGTTTTATTTATCTATTTATCTATTTATTTGAGCCGCCCTGTCCAGTACTTGAACCCCAGCCAGCCACGTGAGAGCCCAGTGACTCAGTCACCCCGCCACCTGCCCAGCCCAGCTCCGCTGCGGTTTCTACCAACTGTTTCTAGAGGCCTCCAATTCTAGTTTTCAAACAACAGGGTTATAAGTGAAAGGTGGGGCGCTTCCCTCTTACCCCCCAGTCTCAGACTGATCACAGCATCAATTTCTATGTCCCTGGCTTTCATCCGGCCTTTGGGGACAGTGTTGTCCCCTGCATCATAAGGACTCTCGAGGGACCTGACAAATCAGTTCTCTATCTTTGGGGTGAGCCTGTCTGACCAAAGCCTGCTTTCTGGTCATCATCACCCTCTGTTCTCCCTGGTCCCCAACGTTAAATCCTTTCATTCACCCCAAGTTCCAGGCACGATTTTCGGTCCCCGGGCATAGAGGGTGAACCAGCCCGTTGGAGATGATGGGGGAGTTTATGTCTGGGGAAGGCATGTTGGAGGAACCGCGGGCGAGACCCTAGGCCTGGGGTGCCCTTTCGGGGGAGCAGGACTCCGTGAATAAGGGGGGTCCGAGGCAGGAATGAGCTCGGGTTTTGCAGGGACAACGTGGAGACCAGGGCGCGCTGAGATTAGCAAGGCGGGCCGGTGGGGAGGAGAGGAGTCCACAGCCAGAGGAGTTTGGATGGCATTCTCAGGGAAAGCCAGAGGAGCGTTTTCAGCAGGCGAGGGACATGGTTTGCATTTTGAAAAGCTCCCTGTGGCGGCTGGACAGTCCCACGCAAGAGTGCGGGCTCGGAGACAAGCGGGGGGCCGAGCGCGGCCGCTGCACAGGGCGGAGGAGGGATCCCCAGGGCCGGGGACCCCCTGCCAGGGTGGGAGCAATGGCTTCCGAGGGCGAGAAGACGGGCAGGGCCCCGGGCCGGGAATCCCCAGGCCTCGGGTGCAGATTTGGGGCGAGGAGGCAGGATAAGGACCGCGTCCAGGGGGCGGTGGATCTGGCGACGGTTGCTAGGGTGACGGGGGAAGGGTTGATGGTTGACCACAACGGGTAGCGGTTGTCTGGGTGACCGGAGGGGGCCCAGGCAAAGGCTGACGGGAGGCCTCTGGCAGTTGCCGGGGCGACCCGGGTCCGCGGACGGTTGCCAGAGTAACGAGAGGGCGCCGGCTTCCGCCTCCAAGGCTGCAAGCGGGAGGGAGGCGGAGTCTTCTAGAGGACGGGATCGCGATGATTGGGCAGAGTCCTGGAGAGAGAGCCAATAGAGACACAGGGTTCAGCCAGGGCCCGCCTCCTCCCGCCTGAGCCAATCCGAACGCGCCCTTTTTCCAGCCGAGGGGCTCGGCGCGCGCAGCAATTGAGGCGGGAGCGGGGACCTCTAGGGTGCGGGCTGAGGCTCCTCCTAGGCTCGGCCTCTCCCTGTCCCTGAGCCTGACGTCCTGAGCATTTAGCATCATTCACTCATTCATCCATTCATTTTTTACCCCCTGCTGCTGGCCCCGAAGCAGAGGAGGGATGGGGGAGACCGAGCCGGGCACAGACCAAGGAACTGGGAGGGGTACTTACCTGGGGGTAGGGGTTGAAGGCTGCCTGGAGGAGGTGGTCTGGGAGCTGAACTTTGCAAATGCTGCAACCCACGAGTGCCTCCCACGCACTGGTGATCTAGCATTTCCGTGAGACTGGGAGGAATGTTTGGGATAGGAAAACGTGGGATTCAATTACCAGCAGGAGTGTTGCAGAAGGATCTGTGTGTCTGGAATATCACTTAGGGGCTGGTGAGGAGGCTGTACCGAGGCCTGAGAAGAGGATGGGCGTGGTCCGGGAAGTACAGGATGGGGTTCAAGTCCAGGCACCACACCACCCCCCCCCACCGGAAGGTGGAGCTGATTTTGCAGGGAAGGTACGGGGCAAGTCCGGGGCATGTTCGCTCTAAGGGACCTAGAAGCATCTTCCTTTTTCTTTCTTTATTCGTGTGCATGAGAATGAAAGAGAGAGAGAAGCCCCCTCCACAAGCTCTGATCATGTCACCAGCTCCTTCCTCCAAGCCTCCAGCCCAAAAGGTCCTGGGCACTCTATGAGTGTCTCACGTATTTCAGGCTGACTGGTGGGGGATGCAAGCCATGATCACCATGTGGGATCCGGATCTGGCGTTTTATTTATTTTTTTTTAGCAGTATTTATTTGATTTGCTAAAGGATGCATGCACTCACCAGAGGGAGATAGAGACAGAGAGAGAAAGTGAGAAAGCAAACTGCCAGGTCCAGGAGTTGAACCATGGTCTGCCATGTGAAAGTCCAGTGCCCCGACCACTACGCCACCTGCTGGCCCCTCTTTTTCTTGTTCTCGTTCCTTCCTTTTTTTTTTTTTGGAGAGGTTTTCGCTATGGGGCACGTGCGCTTGCCAGACAGACAGAGACATAGAGACAGAAAGCGAGAAATCACCCCCCAGGGGGGATGGCCACGCCACAATCCCCTCTCCTCCATTCTCCTCTCGGAATCTTTGGGTATGCACGCACACGCAC